TAAAATATTTGAGTAAATGTACTGTGATGCCACAGTCATGATACCAGTCTCCTTATACTTTTCTCTGAGAGAAACCCATATACATATATGTATGTAGTTAAATGCTTTTTACACTTTTTGCTGTATGGTCGGTGCGTGTATCATTTGTAGTTTGGTATACAATTTTTAACTGGAATTTATAAAATAATAGTGTAAAATTGCGGTGAGTGAGGTGCTTTCTTAATTATATATTTAATTAGAAACTACATGATGCGGCGTCTACAACGACGAATATACTTAACTTGTGGTTCTATATTATTATACTCAAGGTGATACCTGAAAACCAGCAAATTGCTAAGGATGTTACCTTTTCTTCAATATCATCAATTTTTTTAAGCCACTATTTTAAGTGATGCTTTACCAACATGATATTCAAATATTTTTTTGTGAAATTGCTCCGGATCGAAGGAATTTTTTCTAAGTATTCGATCGATTTCGGTCTTTGTATTAATAATTATTACAAACTATAGTGGAGTAATTTCACATAAAAATAATTGAATAACATTGAATAAAACACTTAATTACAGTGAATAGCAACATCTCTACCCAGGGCTGGTAGATGTAAAGGTGCCTGACTGGGTGACGAAATACTTTCATAGATTTCTCATAGATGGCGCTACGTCTAAAAAGTCGTTAAAACCAGATAGAAAGATCCGAGAAACAAGCACATAGAAAAATTCGTAAGGTCCGCTGGTTCGTTCTGTGGCTTAGTTGGCATAGCGTCTGGCACGGTTTGCTAGAAGACGTCGGTTCGAATCCGGCCGAATCGAAGGAATTTTTTCCAAGTGTTCGTATGAATAATTAGAAGTTTTTTTATTTAGCGTTGTAGTGTTGAAGAATAAAGTCTTCTTATTTTTAAATGGTTTGGCGTTTCGGTTCTGACGTACGACGTGACTAGAGACAAAAGCTGCGCAGTTAAAATCTTCTCGGGTAAATTCATTAGCTGCACACTGATCTGTGTGATTTTAAAGTGCAATAAGAAATGTTTCATTCATCCAATCATCAAGGCTTTTGTAAATTGTTTCTATTTCTATAAAGTAAGTAAATGACATGCTCTTGTTCGTTTTGGATGTCTCGAGATAATCGCCGGTGTCTGTCGAACACAATGGACGAGCGAACGGTACTAAATGGTACTTCAGTCTTCGCATTGTCCGATTCTCTCACAATTAAGGGTAATTAGGGATTGAAGCAGAGTAAAACGGGGCGATCGAGTTTAAGCATGTTTTGATGGATGCAACCGGTGCTAGAGCGTCTGTGTATTAAGAAAATATTTAAATAATTCGTTTATAAACGAAATTGTCTGCTGTGGCTGTTTGAAAAGTTGTATGTTTCAAATTTAATTTAATGTATTTGCTGTCTGATTGTGTTTTTATTTGAATTTTTTTTTTATAATTGTGGTGTTCTATTTCTATAACAGAATGTCAACTTATCCTCAAAAGCTGAACCATGGACCTTTTTGACATGCTTTTTTTTCTATTATTATTATTACATTTTCCTATTTGTGTTTTTTTTACTATTTATGAACGAATTATTTGATATATTATAATGTACTTCGCATGTCAAATAAACACGATTTTATTTTTGTTTTATAAATCGCACATTAAGAATAACAGTGATACAATGCAAAATTTTTGATTTAGAGTAAAGAGTAACTAAAGTTCTGAAAATTGTGATAACTGCAATTTGTTACCAAACGAAATTTTTGAATGCGGTTTTCAGTTTAAATAATAGGTAACCTACCTGGGTTTAGAAGTATTATACAAATTTTCACCTACCACAATAAAATAATGGTATTTTTGAGAATTTCCTTTAGTAGATATCATTATTCCTCATAATCTTTGTATGTAAATTAACATTTCTTAGCAATATCGTCACAAAGGATTCATAAAAACAAATAATGTCATGAAACCTAATTTTAATAAAGAAAACTTACTCTATAACTTAAATCCACTAACCAACGTAAATCTGGCTCAGCAATCCTGTTCTATTTAGGTCTTAATGCAAAACATGTGCAAATGACACTATCCAAAAAATTACGATACCTTTCACAGAGTTACTAGTAAATTGTTCCAGCACTCAGCGATCTTTGTCACTAGGTACCAAAAAATGTCTGCCTTCCACTAACTAAAACGCGGCTGCAAATGGTCAAATATCCGTTTTAAATAGGAAAAGATACAGAACAAAATTCTCCTTTAAAAACAGTTAAAATTAGTTAACGTGTACGAGTTATCGGAACTTACAAATATCATTAAACAATTTCAGTATTCTAAAACTGGGTTATGGTTTTTTATGATATCTCAAAAAAATATTTTGTCACAAAAACGTCATTACGTTGTGTAGCAAATTATAGCCAAACAACGTACAAGGGGTTTTTGCGTTATAAACTTCGTACTCTCAAACCCAAGATGACAATAAACATAATTAGTTTTTTTAATATAATGATGTTATCATTCTCAGTGTGCGAAATATCCGTCAGGAGGTCAGCTGCACAGGATCCCAAGTCTCCTAATTTTAAATAATCTCAGTTGTGGGTCAGCAGACTGTCAATGGTGGACTGCAAATGTCTAATGTCTAATTCCGTTGTATTAACAGATTTAGACATTAGTTTTATAATTACTATATTTTTTAAATACTATAGTAGAGTATGCGCTTTTGTGTGTCTATTTGTGTGAAGGTGTATTTGTATAATAATAATAATAATAACGTACACACTCAACATAGCCCCGCACTAGGCAAACCCTGTGTCGCGGGTGCCATGGACACACACGTAGACAACCACAAAGTACACCCAAACTCACGAGAGAAATAAATGTAGGCCATACAAATATTTCTCTGGGACCTCTGCTTGGCAGTCCGGCATGGTAACCGTTCGGCCACGGAGGTAGTTATGTGTATATGTGTTTGTGCTCTGTTTATATAACAATTGTTATCTTTTAAAGTGGGGGAGTAATCATCATGAATTAATAAATTTGTTGCGGTTCAAAAAAACGATATCAACGTCTTTAAATTTGTCTTCGTAAATACGCAAAATTCTGTGCAAAACAGAGCATTTCGCGAAGTTTGAACGGGCTGATTTGTATATATGTGCGACTTTATTTACATCATTAACCATCTGGTCACTGAAACTGGCGAGTTAAGGAATTATTTAATATAGCGACTCATCCGAAGAACAGAGTCCGATGTGATTATATAGCGAAAAGAGAATAAATACGTTACGAGAATAATTTCCTTATTCAAACTAAGGCCTATGTAAAGGTGTTTTGAGAATATATATATGCTATTTCATTTCGGAAATTTAAAATCAAACAACAGTCGATCTGATATCCACAGCGAAGAAGAACGAACGAAATGTACTATGTCCCGAGAACAACTAATCTTGCACATAGATCTTTGTTCTACGGATGAGTCGATAGATGTATTTTTAGTATAGATCTAATGGTTCTTTACAGGTTTTGTGCATATTTTACATAGACATAAACAAGCCAAGTCCGCGTCGATTCCCTTACACGTCAACTCTGGTTCATTATTTTGTTTGCTAGTAATTAGTACAAGGATCAAAGGAGAATCTTCATCTTATCGTACCAATGCAATGGTATAACATTGTAATGCTTCCGACTGTTGTGAAAGAATTTGCAAAGGATAATAATGATCAATTAATGTAAACATTCACAGCTTTTTAACCGACTTCAAAAAAAGGAGGTTCTGAATTCGACTGTGTTTTTTTTGTATATATGTTACGCGATGACTCTGGCATATTTTGTGAATCGATTTTGATGATTCTTTTTTGTTGAAAAGAGGGTAGGTTTTTAATTTAAATTTGAAGAATATATTCCATCTCTAAGGGTGGCAAACTAGAGGATGAACCCGGTTTCGCGTACTTTCCGGTAACAGATTTCAACAAAACCTGGCAAACAGATGTAACTGCACGAAATTTAAAGGTCGGTTTTTAAAAAATTTAATAATTGTTATAAAATAGTTAATGTAAGCCTACATAATAAAAATCTTCAATAACAAAATGTTGTCAGAATGTCTAAATCAAATCTCCTAATTGCAAGAAACAAAAAAGCCACAAACTAGCACTTTTTATTTTTACTATTTATTAAAACAATAAAATTGATTTTTTATTTCAATATTTGTATTCCATTGCCACCATAAAGACATTTTTATAATAACTTAACACTATGCTAAACGTAAAACGCGTTAGCTGGAAATAATTGCAAATAAAATAGAATAGCAGCTGCTTCAACCATTGAACGAACATGCTGGAAGTTGTCGTTGATTCACCAGTGTTGCCTGCGTGACGGAATAATATTCCCCATTTTGTATGACGTAGAAAAGATAAAACTACTTTATGTTAACGTAACGGACGCATAAAATAAGAATCTCATTAAAGACAGTTAATTTTTATTTTGCATATTTTAGAAGGTATGTAGTAAACTCTTTGTATTGTTATATAGAACAACCCTTTAAATTATCTTTAAACTTATCTAAACTGTCATTAAAACTGTACTTAACTGTACTGTTTAAAATGGATTCAGTAGCATATTCGTAACATCATCATGAGAAATGTGAACTGAAAAAAAAACAATAACGAAAAAATAACTTCTATCTTAAATTCGTTTATTTGATCAGTATATTCATATGTCTAAGGTATATTTTAGAAGTATAAATAATATAGGATAACACATAAATAACTTAAATTAAATATTTAGAACTAAGTCTAGATTAAATTGATGAAATTGGACAGTATTATCCCATACTAGAATTGATATTTTATATCAATGTTCGTGTTGTTGATAATAAATAAAAATGGGGGCGTTAAAAAATCGTCAACCTCATAATATAACATTAGTCATATTTATTTGATTTCGCGTAGGCCATTATTTACGAAATAACTCCCCAAATTTGGGTAAAATCCCCACACCAAATACTCGCACCCCGAGCGACATATCGCTCATCCGTCAGCTTTTATTTCACTTCCCTCGGCCAGTCGACACGAGTGGTTGCGCGGGACGCAACGCGAGACAGTCGAGAAACATTTTAATTAGTTTATAAGATAAGTAAATTAACACAAAATGAGGGAAATAGTGCATCTTCAGGCTGGCCAGTGCGGGAACCAGATTGGAGCCAAAGTGAGTTCTTTTTATTTATTTAAAAAAGTAACAGTTGACAGTTCGAAAATTCAAATTCGGTACGTTCAAAATTATTATTTTCTATTTAATTTCTTAACATTGTTATTAGATTAGCAAATTCTTTAGATTTAAGTTTTAGGTCTACCCGTTCTAATTGAGAGAATAAGACGTTGACTGTTGTTTGTTAATCGGAAATTTCTTTTTTTTATACCTACATACAGATTTAAATTAAAAAAACGAATTGAAATTTTTAATAATTTGCTTTATTATGTGATTTAAAAAAAAAGAATAAAATCGAAATAATAGCGGTCATGTTTAAATTCGTCGTTCGATGCGTATTTTTTACATTTTTTGCTGATGCCGTTATTGTGTTTTGTCTTCGAAGAGAATCATAATCATTTGCTGATGGGACTGAATTCAAAAATATAACATATTGAAGGTTTTTTATTCACTCATTATTGACATAATGCTGTCTTACCTATTTGGTATGCGGACTGTAATAAATAATTGCTGAATAATGAAATAGACATTACACTAAGTATAGTTACCTCTCTATTACATCTATGAATCTATCTGAAGTAATTGAAACATTAAGCTAAATAAATACATGTATAAGTAGGTACATAAAATAAATCTATGAGTACTTATTTTTCTTAAGTAGGTGCCTATTTATATTAAATTGAATATCATTTATTAAACCTTTCTTTGAATGTTGCCAAAGTAAATGACTATGCTAGTTATTAGGTTAAGGAAAAAATTACATTTAGGAAAAAATCGTATTTTTCAGAAAAATATTTTTCTCAATATTTTTCCACATTCAACAATTGATAGCTATTAAAAGTTGAAGATACTGGATGAAAACTATGTAGCCATTATAAACATTTTTTTTAACCTATGTTCCTTTTTTTAGCTGTTGTCCAATCATTTTAAACCTCGTTTAACTCGTAAGTTGCTTTTATCTATACAATATTATTTTGTACTCCATGTTTAATAAAACTTTAAAGTATATATTTTAGCGTAGAACATAATATGTGCCTTCAAATTTTTCCAATTTTTCGAAATTTTCTCCTGAAAAATTTCTAATTTGAAATTTTTCGGAAAGTTACCCATTAGTAGATACAGCCAGTAAAGTAATTTTATAAATTTGGATAGCAGTTGAATAGAAAAGAAAAAAACAAACAAAATAACTGTCTTTATCGAGTTCTTAGGTTTACCTTACGATTAATTTTTTTTTCGGTGCGCTTTGTTGATTTTTTATTAATAATTTTGGCTTGGAGGGCTTTGTTGAAACTCACGGAGAACCAGACTAATTCTTTTTTTTAAATAGTTAATCGTAGATCTATTATACAGCCGAGTCTTGCGTCCAAGCAGTGCTAAGTGCATCTAACGGGCTGTGTCGATCGTTCGCTTTTTACGCTTTTTTACTGGAGCAAAGCAAATGATATGCTTTCTAACAGTCTCTTGTCTCTAACCGGCAATTATACTTTTGAATTAGACTAGGTTTTGAGAATTTATTGTCCAGAAATCTTATTATCCTCTAATGATGTGTAACTATCTATTTACTTACTTTTATTTTGAAAATTTTTATTATATGTTAACAAGAATGAAGGACAAATATTTTTTTTTATACTTATTGAGCCAAGATAAAAACGGCAAAATACTAGTTGAACTCACCCTAGATTCTACACTTTTTGTGCCACAAAACGTAACTTAACGTAAACGTAAACATTTATTAAAATTTTTCTTAGTATTCAAAAATTCTGATATTTTTTTAATAAAAACGTGGAAATGTTTAGAATTTTTTCATATTTTCTGCTTATATACTTCGAAAACAATAGTTTTGCATATTTTTCTTAGTAAACTACAAAGCTAAGACACAGAAATGAGAAGAAAAAATTGTAAAGGTTTTTTACCTCGACTTAGTCACTCTACGATCAGATTTCGGCGCTAAAAATGAAATGTTACCAATATTATTTGGCCTAGGAAAGGTGAGATTTTACAGTAGTATTGGTTTCTAGGAAATGTGATATACCGACGTTCACGAAACTCTTATAAAAACAGTTAGTTTTTATCGTTCAGATCATTGACTTACAATTATATTCAGATAGGCATCGTTAAAAACGGACAAGTACATCTCGTACTTGTGAAATAGAATCTATGTTATTAATACTTAATAATAATAACTAGTATATTTGTTTTAAACATGATATAACAGAAGATGTTACAAGAGACAGTGCCAGTACAAACATGTTTCGCATATATTAAATAACATACAAATATCTAGTTATACGAATATAACGTCAATTAGACTACCTCAACACAATAATAAAAGATGTCACAAGCATGTCAAGTTACCTCTTCTATTCTTCTAACTCTATCTACAATATTAGTCGAGTCGAGGATGTGGGTTATATTTTTCTGTATCTAATGGAGCAAATAAACATGTTTGATGTTACTCCACTTATGCCATTCTTCTATGAGGGGTGCATTAATTTAGTCAAAAATAATAAATCTTTAAGATTAAATCTTACATCTTATTTCCTGTCAAATATTTCGATTAGGTCATAAAAAATATTTTTATTTAACTACTTGTACAGGTCTAACAACTTAGAGCTTTTTCAAGTTAGAGCTGAATTATAATAATAATAATTATATTTATTTAGACAACTTCCTTTTTTCAAGGTCCAATGGTCTAACACATATAAAAATAACTTCATTTCCACTACGCTAGTTGTAATAATAGTAAGTATAAGAAGCAACACCTTCCTTCCTTGTCATACAAATGCATTTTGGTAACATTCGAGATATGGGCATCTAATTTTTATTTGAAAAAATTAAACTGATTTTGCTTATCAATAAAACTTAAACTAAATAAGATGTAAAAAATCATCATTATGACGGTACCCGAATCACATGAAACATTCAATTATATATTATAATAATACACTGCACACGTATAAATAATAATAAAGAACTGTAAAATATTTAAAAAATATTAAATAAAAACTATGATTAAAATAACAATAATAAATAAAAATTGTTTAAACTCGCTGATGGGTGAAGCTACATCCAACAAAACATATTGATTAATAGGTCTTTTATTTGATTTATGATTTCTAATTATAATAAAAGACTTTGATTAATTCAACCAATTGATCAATTCAATCAACAAACGTTCTGAAGAAGTAACATACTTCGCTGGAATTGAAATGTAATGTTTGTCAGATATGTCAATTCAAATGTTTCTAATTATTTTTCTTAATTCTCATTCTTATAAAGAGGCGAATGGTGGCATACACTATACAGCCAAGTCATTTGTGATAAAGGGACTGCCATGGAAAAAAAAATTGTATTGTGGTTCGCTGCATGATATGAGGTGTCGTAAGTAGGAATTATTCGAAACGACACGATACTTGTGAAAAAGTACTAATATCTGAAAAATATCGAGTGCAAAAGTGTCGGTATCGGAAGGAAATGTCTCTACTTACAGGTGGTGACTTTATTGGAGTAGGTACTCTGTTTTGTATTAGGGTTTTTTACGCTTTAATTTATGTTTCTTTTTCTATTTGCTTACCAGACAAAGTCAAAAGTTAATGAGGTTGTTAATTTGACTGTTTCACTTCAGAGGCAATGATTGACGTATCGGGGATTTATTTTTCTCATAACATTGAAAAGAAAGGCCTAATTTCAAAAAGCCGTAAAACAAAAGTTGCTAGATGAAAGGACGGGGTGTCATTTTTGTTTTTCTTTATAGTCTGACATTATTAAGTAGAGTCAAGTTTCGTGTGGATATGGCTCCGTCGTTTTAGATTCCGCCCACGTCAGGGTTGGAAGACTCAATGCTATGTTGAGACAAATAGACGGTTTTTGAAAGATTTTTGCGTAGATTCTGGTTTCAGTTCTATGTTATTAAGTTTTAGAAATGTATACAAAGTAAGTGGCGGATGGGCATTGGCTACGAAATGTCTGACATTTAAGTAAACAATATAATCTGAGCTATAATTATTAAACACCCACAAAGAAATATTCCTTCGACCCGTTCAGGATTCGAATCTGCGACCACGGGATTCCGTCCCCATTGCTCTACCAACTTTAAATTTTAAAAAGATGTATTTTATATTGATAAATAAATAAACATTAGACAACATCATAAGTTGCTCTGATTCCAAAGTAAGTAGTAGCGAAAGCACTTATGCTATGGAAATCGGAAACAACAACACGGTAAAACAAACATAGGTCTATAGCACGGGCAAACTATATTTTCTCGGGTCTGGCCCGAGAAAATATAGTTTGTTTTTCTACATTGACCCGGCCGGAGATCGAATCCGGGATCTCGGAGATTGACACACTATGAAAACCGATGTGCAAGCCACACAACCACAGACGGCGTCATTTATTTTATCCTGATGATCTACAGAGTTAGTGAAATCGACCGTTTATGATAACACTAACTTTTAAAAAAAAACACAAACTGTCCAAAATAAGTGACAACCAAGTTTGTTTTGTAATTAGATGTTTTGCTGTTTTTCCTACACCACCGAATCGAACAACCCCCCAATGTTAGAGATATTATTCTAACAATAAATACAGAATATTTTTGGAATACGTACACACAGGTCAGTTGTTGGCGCTGTACTACTTCAGCTCTCTAATTTGTGATTTCAGTGCAAACGGGAGTTGATATTTAAAAGTGATATAAGGCTTATTTACTTACCTGATGAGTTGCCAGGGATAGATGGCCCTTATTTCGTCTCTATTTCTGGTTATACACTCGATGGTGACGAGTTGCTATTCAACTGCTATTGTAATTTTTAGGTATTCTGCTCTTCAATAGCAAGTTGATGGTACGTTGATGATGATGTAATGCTATATATATAAATATGATTTAAAGACTAAATTAAAACCTAAAAACACAAAGAACTTTAGAAGAATTCAGCAAGATCGGTGTTAGTTTGATACACGCTTTTATGTAAATCTCCAAGTGTCCACCGGGGAGATAT